AGCCATTTGCTCCTCTGAAATACATAGTCTTTAACAGAGTTTCAAAAAACCACACAAACAAAACAAATAAAACAAACTCACAAAAACAACCAGCATGCCCCACTTGAATTCCCAGAGCAATAGTATGAACCTGTAACACAAAAATGTACTGAAACATTTTGCAAAACTCACTCTGAAATGCGTTTCCCCTCCCCTTTTTTTTCCCTAAAAAGATGGGAGCAAACTCTTCCAACTTAACTGTTTCTGTATTAAGGGATGTGTGTATGCATCCAAGTGGTGAAAGGGGAGCAAAGATGCAAATTTTAAGTAACGAAGGACCAAATACTTCATACCTTGCTCTGGCCATAATTATTGACAATAATGGTACTATTTCTACATGACAAGATAAAAAAAGGTCTCATTTTAGGAGATTAGACTTTAGAAACAAGATGAATGGATAGTTTGGGGGTTTTCTGGAGAGCAGCAAATGTGTTAAGATAGCTTGTCTTCACTTGCATGGTCTGATATTAGCTGTACAGCACAGAACTGTCTGCCTTCAGGCATGAACAAGCAATGTTAAAAATTGCTGAAAAAATCTAGCCTGGAAGAAACTTCAGTTCATCTGTTTGCAACTTGTTTTAAAAAACTCCAAACCAAACCAAAAAAAAACAACAGTACTTCCTCCATGTTATCATCACCATCTTCCACAACCTAGGCATGACAGGCAATATGCAACAAATTTTCTCATTACTATTTTCACCAGATGAGAACTTTTGCTTCTATATCCAAAAAAAAAAAATCAAATTATTCATGTCAAATTGGCACAACTTGACTACCAATATAAAACGCAATGATGCTACTTCCAGCAACGTTATCACACCTTTACTTTCTCAAATAATGTTTAGATTTTATCCATTTTAGATTATCTCCATGGAATCTTAAATTACGTACATAGAAAAGGGGGATTTAAAATTAAAGCAACTCAGGTTTGTCTATCTCAATAGAAAACAAATTATTCTCAATAAGAAGGTCCGCTATGATTAAATTTTATTTTTCTCATAGAAAAGTCTCTATAATCCATTTAATAATCTGCTTTCTTAGTATGTTAATAGTTTCTTACCAAATGGAAGATACCAGATCCTTTCCTCTCACTCATATCACCAGGTTAAGAACTGGCTGGATGGCCTGGCCCAGAGTGTGGTGGTGAATGGTGCTGCATCCAGGTGGCATCTGGTCACTAGTGGTGTCCCCCAGGGGTCAGTGTTGGGCCCAGTTCTGTTCAATATCTTTATTGATGAACTGAATGAGGGGATTGAACGTACAGTCAGCAAATTCACAGACTCAATCTGCTGCAGGGTAGTGAGGCTCTGCAGAGGGACCTAGGACAGGCTGTGTGGTTCAAGAAGACCAAGTGCCAGGTCCTACACTTTGGCCAGAACAACCCCATACAGAATTTACAGGCTGGGGGAAGAATGCCTGGAAAGTGGCCCAGCAGAAAAGGACCTGGGGGTGCTGGTTGACAGCAGCTGAACATGAGCCAGCCTGTGCCCAGGTGGCCAAGAAGGCCAAAGGCATCCTGGCTTGTATCAGAAATAAAGTGGCCAGCATTACTGTTCCCCTGTATTCAGCACTGGTGAAGCCTCACCTCAAGTCCTGTGTCTGTGTCCAGTTCTGGGCCTCTCAATTCAGGAAGGACATTGAGGTGCTGGAGCGGGTCCAGAGAAGTGCAACAAGGCTGGTGAAGGGTCTGAAGAGCATATCCTATGAGCAGTGGCTGAGGAAGCTGGGGTTGCTAAGCCGGGAGAAGAGGAGGCTCAGGGTTAACCCTCTCTATAACTACATGAAAGGAGGTTGTACCCAGGTAGGGGTCGGTCTCTTCTCCCAGGCAACTGGTAACAGGATGAGAGGACAGTCTTCAGCTGTGCCAGGGAAGGTTTAAGTTGGACATTAGGAAGAATTTCTTTGCAGAAAGGTGACTGGATATTGGAATGGGCTGCCCAGGGAGATGGTGGTGTCACCATTCCTGAAGATGTTTAAGGAAAGGCTGGATGTGGTACTTAGTGCCATGGTCTAGTTGACATGGTGGTGTTCAGTTGTAAGTTGGACTCAATGATCTCAGAGGTCTTTTCCAATCTAACTGAGTCTGTGATTTCAAGTAATCAAAATGAAGTATTCAATTTTTACTTTAAGTGACCTTTGGTACTTCTGCTGTCAGCTAAAAATGGATTTTAGTATTAATTTGCAGAGGATACATTATTTGTAGGTGCAACAATACCTTGTAATATTTTAATACTACCTTTAAGACACTGCATAACAGGAAAAATACCCTGTTCAATGACGAAAAATGAATCAGCATGCTGACTAACATATGCTACAAAAAAATTACATATATACCAACAAAACAAAAGAAAAAGAGGTATGTTTAACCCACTACGAAAATGCCATTTGTTTTGTTTTCTAGGCACAAGCAGGAAGCCATCCAATAGAAAAGAGAAACTGAAAAAACAGCAGTGATATTTTTCATTTATACTGAAGACCAGTTAACAACAAAAGAAGTTATGACATATGGAGGGAATAAATAATAAAGAACAGGATTAAAAAAAGTAGTATCATAGAATATTCCAAGTTGGAAGGAACCCACAAGGATCATCGAGTCCAACTGCTGAAAGCAGTGGTTACAAATTCTTAATTGAAAATAATTAATTCTTTAAAAGATTAAATTTCTTAGCAATGCTAAGTAATGGAACGGCATTTCTTGCTTACAACACGTTTCTTAGTAATTTAGATTTTGGCTTTTGTTTAAGGTAATTTAGTATTTTACTTAAAATGGTTTGTATGATATTTCAGTCACCTGCAGATACAACTGACAAGGAAGCATTCATTAATGCAATAAATAAAAAAAATCTTGCATTTACAGGTTGTTAACTTACAAAGACACGGCTTAAGCACATTTTTCCTATCATAGACTTTCCTGGAAATAAACCTGTATCTTCAAATATTATACAACACATACCTGCATCACCACTGTGATTTTTTTTAACCAACTTTTTACCTGATTTCAAACTCTTCATCCAGTCTTTCTCCCACTCACATGCTCCCTTCTCAGCAGGGTCTCCAACATAGGCTAATGAGCTTATCTCCTTTCCACTGAGCTTGTGAGTGCTGGCAGCAGCTGACAGGGAATACTGGACAGAAAATGCAAATCTGTACTTCATGTAGAATACCTGAATCATTAGGGAACTTTAAAACTAGTGACAGCACAGTAGTTTTATTCAGTATCTTTCATGCTGTCGTTATTAAGCGGTAGATATTTTTAGCCACCAAAAGCCAAATCCATCTGCAGCAGCAGCGTTTCCAAGGAGACAGAATAATTTAAACACATGTGGAACTAGATCTCTGTTTTCATCAACTCCTCTCTGTTACTGGAGCTCCTCTGAGTCAGATTTTTTCATTTGAGGGGAGAAGAGTGATTTGAATACATGGATTTGAGACTGTAATTTAACAGTTCTGCTTATGCTTTCAGATACATATCTATTACTTACAAATAACAAATCTTAGGATGCAACTCAACTCTTTTTCAGTCAGTGTTATTTGCCAGTGTTTACATTCCAGTACAAGAAAAATAAAGAAGATACAGCTCGTTAGCCTTTAGAATAATCTGTGAATTGCTGACATTTGCTGTAAATTATTGATTTTTTTTTTGATTGACTGATGTTTTTTTAGCAAACATACCAGGCTTCATTTTCTGAAGAAACAGCTAGGAAGAAAGGACACCACTCCAGTGGTTGCAGCTATAAGGTACATAAATAAGCAGACAGCTTCTTCCAGTGCTTTTTAGCACTCATAAGACTTCTATTGACTTGTTCCAGTTTTTCTTTAATGACATCACTTTTTAATAATTTCAGATCTGCTCTAAGGGAATTCAGTCAGTGAATACAACAAAAATAGATGCATGCATTTACTGATTTTAATCTCTGAAATCTGTTAAAACTAAATTTGAGCATTTTAGTTTTATAAATATATTTTATTAATACATATACTCTCAAACCAATGATAATCAGAATTTATTAATGTCAATTAAGATTTTTGCTTCAAACCAGAAAAATGGGGATGTGTATAATAATTATTTACTACATGTAAAATGTGGAAGTAAGTCCACATTGAAGCTGATACATTGAAATGCTTGGCCCAGTGAGGCCAATATCAAAATCCTCAATTCTTTCAGTTGGGCCAGGACTTCTGCCTGTAGTCCTACATCCTCATATAACATGGCTTGATAAACAAATCTATTTCCCGTATCAACTTATTTGCTACTTGCCATCTCTAGTCTCTGTGAACGAACAGCTGCTGCTAACATAAACTCAGCAGAAGAAACCTATTTCGACAGTTTATTAAAACTGGCACACAAATGCTGTAGGTACCTCAAGATTTATCTGTCTCATACACATAATTATATGCACCATGTTTTCCTTTATGACAAAGACAATTTTATGACTCAATTATCAACCACATTCATGCCAAACTTAAAAATAATGCAAAAATCCACAAAACCCTTTTCAGTTGTTCTGAGGAACCATTCTCACTGTTTGTTCAGCACTAAATAAGACACAGTTTTAGAAGCAGTTCATCTTCCTATCCAAGCGCAAAGAGAACATTTTTAGATCTTCCAGCAATCTTTTCCTGCTGGTAGCATACACTGTATTTTCAACAGCAAGTGTTTCCATCACACAAAATGACCTCTCTTCCTACAGCTTACTGAACAACTTGGGCATCAATGAGATGCAATGCGTACACTGTCACATGAGAAAGCTGTCAGCATCAGGCATGCCTGTGATTTCACTGCTCATGGATCTCACATCGGCTGAAACCTCCCGGGTAGGAGGAATAATAACTGAAAAGCTGCTTCACAGTAATTTGTGAGGAACAAGCAAGATGCTTGTACATGCATTTGTTATATCTGAAAAATGTTGTGGCAAGGATCAAGAATAGCTATTCATAACAGGAATTTTTTTCACCCTTACCTGTAAATCGGGTTTCTGTGTTTCAGCTCTGTCAGTGCAGAATGAAAGGTTTACTCCTCCTTTTTCCGTCTATCAGACAGCAGTCATCCAATAACTGAAGTCATCCTGGCATCCTCTGGAACATGCTCTCTCCCTTATTTCCCACTCCCCACCCCCATCTGCATGCTAGCAAAATGGGAAAACAGCAAGAAGAAAACAGAACAAAAAAGCACATCTAAAAACCAGCTTTAATGAGCTACTTAGTAATCAGTGAGGACACTCTGTACTGAAAGGTAATGACAAAATTAAACGACAAGAAGAAAAAAAAGTCTCTCTATTAATAAACCTTCAGCTCCACTACTGAATAGTAATTCTCCCTTTCAGCCCCTTTTTGTAAGGAAAAAACAAGCAAACAGCTGTAGGAACACAGTTACTGCCTGTATACATTCTTTGAGTCTGACTCAGCTATCCAGATCTTCAGTGAAGAGTGCTGCTGTGTATTTAGGAAAGTTTGTGATTATCAAAATAACAGTGGTGCTTTTATACAAACAAGGATCTGAAATCTCAATGCAAATTAGAATAATTCAGAGATAGATGCCAGGAATTTCCTACTTTCCTCTTTCTGTTTGAGGTCTACCTGTATAACTGGTGCATGTGCAATGATTTTACTGGATTTATAATACAGTAGACAAAGTTCAATGTGGTGCATGAATTTCATTCACATAAAACTTTCTACCTAAAGAATTCAAATGCAAAAAATGACTAGATGAACAGTTTTCAGTTCATGTGCCTCAAATATACTATTAGTCTATTTGTAGCCTCTTAAATCTAGTTGAAAAAAATTACTTCCAAGATCAGAGAATTTTTATTTTTTTCATATCTATATAAATTGGGTATCAGCTCAGCTGAAAACATCACATTTAGTTTATGACAGTTTAATTACATTTAAAATCAAAATCAAGCATGAGTCTTCCTAGCTACATCAAAGCATTTGTACTCCAGGATTTCCCCTTGAAAGGAAAATGTTAAGCAGCAGAAGCTGACAAATACCTTTGTGTTTACAAATTTCAATCTTCAGCTATAGCTTCCCAATAAAATTAACTGTGAATTCCTTTAAATAAGAGCATCTGTTCTCTTCACTGAATTATTGATCTTTAACCACACAAGACTATACCAATTAGCATACTTCCAGTACAAAGTAATAGCTGATTTAGCTTCTGAAAAAAATAGCTGTCACTCTTATCACAACGAACTGCCAGCAGATCCTGTGCATAACATTTAGATTCTGTCTTAACAAGTGAAGTAGGTGTCTTTTTAACCAAATTACCTCAGTTTAACATAAAACCTCTTCCGATATGCCTAGAAAAATGGAAATCCATTCCTGCAAGCACTAACAAACTATTAGATTTCAAATCCAGACAATCAATGCAGTTTTCTTTAGTGGGAAAGAACTGTAGGGAACACTGAGGAAAACCTAAACAGACATTTTGCCCTGATAAACAATTGGTTGGAAGACTTCTTCAAATTTATTTTGATCTGCAGAAAGAAATTTGGAGTTGAGCACCAAGGCTTCACCTCTCAACCAGCCTGACTGCTGAGGGAAATGCACAGACACACAGAATTGTAGTGTCAAAACTTGACTTAATAAACATCTTTTAAATACAGATGCGAGGTGCGACACTGATTTCATCCCCAAAGCACTATCAAAATAGGTAGTCAGAAAAATAGGCAGTATAAACAAAATAAATCAGAATACCTAGCAAAATCTACTATGAAAAAAATGAGGTTATTAATAACAAAATCCCCAACAGCTCTTCAACGCTCCCAGAATGAAGCAACTCTACAAACTGTGTTTCTAAAGTAAAACACAAATAGCATTACAACAAAAACTGATTAACTGGGCTGGTGCCTCCCCTGCACTTCACAAGGGCTGCACACAGGAGCCTCCCCAACAGTGGGTCTGTGCAATCTCCGTAACCCAACTTTGCCAGTTTCCTTGGATTTCTGGGTAACATCAGACAGTCCTTGTGAAACTTGCCCCAATTTGCACATTAAAAATTAAGTAAACTCATTTACTTGATAAATGCATTTTAAATATATGAATCACTTCTGCAACTACTGCAGGGTGCTGAGGTGCCCGGTGCAGGTGGGGGTTTGGCTGCCTGGGCACAAGGCCAACCTACAGACAGCACAGCAGGTGGCCTTGAGAGAGGAAGGGAGCAGCAGCCCCTGCCCACTCTTTGCCAGGACCCCGCCTTCAAGTTCAGCCTCTTGCCCCTGGCCCCTGCCGAACTGTGCTCCCACTGCTGCAGCCTTGCTGGGGCCCAGCCAGGCAGCCCCTGATCCTGGAGGGCTGACCCAGACCTGACTGCCTGCTCCTGAAGGATCTCAGACGTGCCTTTCCACCCGACTCCAGATGGAGCCTGGCAGCCATCCCCAGGCCTGACCTGCTCCCCACTGCTGGGCTGCCCTCGACTTCTGTCTTACCTGCCCTTTCCAAGCCACCTGCTGCACTGGCTGCTCCCCAGCAGAGCACCTGGACCTGACTGTCCCTTTCCAGAGCCAGCACCTGCTAAATCTTAGCAGTGCTTTCCAGCTCCAAAGTGCCATTATTGGACTAATTAATCACATATACACAGATATGGAAAAAAGGAAATTGGCTCCTTTTTGAATCCAGGTTTGTACTCAGTCCCTGCTGTGACTCAATGCATTACTCTTAGTGCTTGTATTTGTTTGGCTATTTCTCCTTTTTTTTTTTTTTTGTAATTTGTCTATACTTGATACTCCATACAACACACATTTATCTTTTTTCTCCAGAGCTGTTATACTGGACAAAAGGAAAACTTCATCAGGAAGCAGATTCCTGCAACAACTTTCTTCACTGCTTTCTGAGATTATGTCTGTTGCTACCCAAATATTTACTTCCATTTCTTCTGACTCTACAAAGAATGAGACCAGATTTTGGCAATCCCTGTATGGAAGGACAGTACTGAGACAGGATCACTGCCTTCCTGAATAAATCTTCTGGTTAGGGTACTGGGTAGCACCTTCAGCACCATTTTAGTTTCTTCTGAAATGCAAATCTTTGTAAGTAGGAGAGAAGGGAAACAATGGGTGGGGGCAAAAGGGCCTTGGAGATGTATATCTCTCAAAGAATGATTCCTGGTAACTAACATCTCTCGATCCCCACTCAGGCACTCACACAGCCCCTGGATCCCAGAAGCTATCCTCACGTTATGTAACTTTGTGATAGTTTATCACACAGTGCTCCATTAGAAACAGTTACTGTAGATCTCCTCTGTCCAGTGCGAGATCAGCTCTAACATACTGCTTCACGAAGACACGGGTGGAGCTTGATGTTTGGAAAAAGCTACAGGCAGACTTCTGAGACTGTTACCAGTTTGTTTTCCCAGGCTACTGACTGCAGGATCAGGCACTTGCCTACGAAAAGCAGCAGCTCCTGTCCAGCTCAGGAGCAAAAGAACTACCACCTGGCCTGTTAATGGAAAAGGTCAGGTCTCCCACAGCATAATCACTCTTCTGAAAGACTGTTGTTTGGACATCAAAACAAATTCCTCACACTTATCTAGAAATAAGAACCTTATTCACTATTCAGGACGTTATTCACATTCAGGAAGGTGTCATGTTCCACACATTAGATCTACTAGATCTCCTGAATGGAGACATGTAACACCTTGTTTCTCAGCATCCTACACCTCTGTGCAAACACTTCAAGAAGGAGGAACCTGGTTGGTAAGGCAGCAACAAGACTATAGGAATTTCATATCCCCTGGCCATTCCATGTGTCAACTTAGTATCCAGTGTCATTATGAAACATGTCAGCATCGTCCCCAAGCAGAGTAAATACCAATAAAGAAAAAAAGGTAATGAATGAACTATGTATGACTTACTGGTGAGCACTCAGCTTCCTAGAAAAATCCTGCATGGTCAAAAGAACCAGAACCCACTAATGTTTGATTATGAAAATCAGGCCAAGGTTTCCTTAATTGAAGCTGCTGCCACTGCAAGGAAATTACTTATGATTTGTGACTGAAAATAAATGGAAAATTGATGTTTCTTTCTCACAAATGGTAGACAAGTGCCATCATCTACCAGTCTTATATATCTCTTAAGGCACGCAGAACTCCAGTAGTCTGAGGTTTAAACAGTGAGAAGCTATCAAACAGGATGTGTGTGATACAGTTTCCACAAGTGAAAAAAAACAGAACTCCACAGTCAAACAGCAAAGCCATACAACAAGCTGTACTGGCTTTAATGCCCTACTGACTGCATTAATGAAGCCTGAAGGGATGACTGTTCAGATTGGAGAAGGTGGTGGATAATTATGGGCAATGCACAGTGAAAATACATCGCACAGTTTGAAAATCAAAACTGCTTCAGGAAAGAAGAGTAGGATTACTTAGCCACAGCACTCATACATTTTTACTCTTTAATAGATCCAAGAAAACTCTACTGTGTCTGAAGCAGCCAAGGTGTGTTTGTTCCAGTCCAGAACAGTAGAAACCAATCCCTTTTTATAAAGGCACATCATACCAGTCAGAGGATCTGACATTTGAATACATTCCTCCTGTTACATTAGGAGGAATTAACTATTGAGGAGCTGTAAAAACTACACGGAGAGGTTGGGAGGTGTTGTGGAATACACCTGGTCCAGGTAGCTCGGCTTGTCAGCTGCAGATTGAGATGCAGACTGAGTCCCGGGCTGGAGCCCAAGGCCATGAACTGCCAACCTTTGGGACATCAAAGGGCACAAAGACTCCCGATGCCAGCCACACGAATGGACACAGAGACACAGCAAGAGCCAGGTGACATTAGTGAGGTGTATGGATGGACACTGAAAGGGGAGCAGGAGCAAGAGCTGAAGACTCAGGAGGAAGAGAAGCTTGTGCTCACCTGGACTGTGAGGGTGTAAAAGCCCAGGGGTTCCTTTGTTGGAGGTCCCTCCTTGAAGGCAGCAGCTCGAGCTGTTTCTGTGTTAGTGCACCGTGAATAAATTGCTTTATGGAATGAGATATTTGAAACTCTGCCGTGGGAAACCATGAGTGAACCGGTAAGGAAACTGGTCTGACTGTGAGTGGGGAGTCAAGTGGGGACCCGTCGGGTCAGTGGA